GAGAGGGAGAAGCAGACTCACTGCCGAGCAGGGAGTTCAATGCATGGCTCGATCCCAGGACCCAGGGATCGTGACCTGAGTGGAAGGCAGATGCTCAACCGAATGAGCCACCCAGGTGCCCCTTTTTATTAAGATTTATTTATTTATTTGAGAGAGAGAGAGGGCATAAGTGGGAGGGACAGAGGAAGAGGGAGAGGGAGAATCCCAAGCAGTCTCCACACCCAGCGCAGAGCCCAACGTGGGTCTCGATCTCAGGACCCCGTGATCATGACCTGAGCTGAAATCAAGAGTTGGATGCTCAACCAACTCAGCCACGCAGACGTCCCTGGTTTTTACTTCAAAACAAAATATAACATTTCCATGTAATTACTATTAGAAATGGTATGTCAGGGGGCACCTGGGTGGCTCAGTCGGTTAAGCGGCTGCCTTCGGCTCAGGTCATGATCCCGGACTCCTGGGATCAAGCCCCGCATCAGGCTCCCTGCTCAGTGAAGAGTCTGCTTCCCCTTCTCCCTCTGCCTGCCTCTCTGCCTACTTGTGCTCTCTATCTCTCTGTCAAATAAATAAATAAATAAATAAATAAATAAATAAATAAAAAAGAAATGGTATGTCAGGATCTATACCTAGAGAGACTTCCTTAATTAGCTCAGCAGCAGCATGGCAACCCTGAACAAGTATCCTGGTCCAGGTTGACAGATCCCGATGTGTCTCCACCCTGAAGAGATGCATCTCAATGCCCTGCCGAGAGCCTGTTCTGGTAGCAAAGGTAAGGTCAGATCCAAGTGAGGGTGATCGACATCCGGAGCCAGAATGAACCAACCTAGGACCACAAAGAGGGCAAAGATCAAAAGTAATTAATGTACTGGTATAGGAAAATGTCAGCAATTTATGCTGATAAATAAGCAGAGAGTTATAAAAGCCATCTGTAGTTTTTGGAAAAGTACGTTTCAAAACAATTTTATAGTCTTTGAAGTATATACCATTCTGTTTTCCCACAAAATGACCCCTTGAGTCACAGGCAGAACACTGTGCTGGATGAGCTAAGGCCAAATTTTCCATTGGCCTTTTTATGCTCTGAAAAGGCTGTGCATGTCAAAAAAAAAAAAAAAGGTTCAATTTTGATTAGGAAGTGTTAAGCCCCCACATATGAACAGCCTCCCTTACTATCAACATCACTCACTAGATGGTACTTTTTTTTTTCTACCAAGAATGAGCCTACACTGACACATCATAATCACCTGAAGTCCATAGTTTACTTTAGGGGTCACTCTTGGTGTTGTACATTGTATAGGTTTGGACAAATGTGTAACGACATATATCCATCATTATAATATACAGAGTATTTTCAATGCCCTAAAAATCCTCTTTGCTCTGCTTATTCATCCCCTCCCCCTCCTCCTAGCAATCACTTATCTGTATACCTTTTACTTCCTTTTCTTAACTTAGTGCATTAGCAAGGATTGCTGGTATGATGTTGAAAAGGAGTGGCAAGAGGGGACAGGACATCCTTGCCTTATTCCTGATCTCAATGGGAAAGCTTCGTGTTTGTCACTATTAAGCATGATACTGGCAATAGATTTTTTGTAGATCGTCTTTATCAAGTTGAGAATGTTCCCCTCTATTCCTAGTTTACTTTTTTTAATCATGAACGGGTGTTGGATTTTCTCAAATGACTTTTCTGCATCTCTTGATAGATTCATATGATTTTTCTTGTTGAGCTTGTTGATGGGATGGATTACATTAACTGATTTTCGAATATTGAACCAGCCTTGCATATCTGGGATCGATCCCACTTGCTCATGGTGTATAATTCTTTTTATACTTTTTTGGATTTGATTTGCTAATATTTTGTTGAGGACTTTGCATATATATTCATAAGAGATATTGGTCTACAGTTTTCTTATAATGTCTTTGTCTGGTGTTGGTATTAGGGTAATGCTAGCCTCACAGAATGAGTTAGAAAGGCTTCTATCCTCTGAAAGAGACTGTAGGGAATTTCTTCCTTAAATGTTTGGTAGAATTCACCAATGAACCCATCCAGGCCTGGTGCTTTCTTTTGGAAGACCTTACACTTTCCGCAAAAAGTAACTCAAATGGGGCGCCTGGGTGGCTCAGTCGTTAGGCGTCTGCCTTCGGCTCAGGTCATGATCCCGGGGTCCTGGGATCGGGCCCCGCATCGGGCTCTCTGCTCAGCGGGAAGCCTGCTTCTCCCTCTCCCACTCCCCCTGCTTGTGTTCCCTCTCTCGCTGTCTCTCTCTGTAAAAAAAAAAAACAAAAAAAAAACTCAAATGGATCTTAGATCTAAATGTAAAATGCAAAAGTATAAAACTTCAGAAGACATCGTAAGAAAAAATTGAGGTAATCTAAAAAGATACAACACCAAAAGCATGATTCATGGAAAAAAAATTGGTAAGTTGTACTTTCTAAGTTAAAAACTTCTGCTTTGAAAGACACTGTAAAAGAATGAAAAGACAAGCCACAGAATAGGAGAAAATATATGAAAAACACATATTTGATAAAGGACTAATATCCAAAATATACAAAGAACTCTTAAAACTCAACAATAAGAAAACAAAAAACCCAGTTAAAAGATGGGGGGAGAAAAAGGGCAAAAGACTCACTTCTTAGTATATATCCCAAAGAATTGAAATTAAATTCTTGAGATATTTTACATCTATGTTCATAGCAGCATTATCCACAATAGCCAAGAGGTAGAAGCAACTTAAATGTCTACTGGCAGAATGAATGACTAAAGAAAATATGGTATATACATTCAACAAATTATTATTCAGTCTTAAAAAGAAGGAAATCTTGTTATACATGCCAACACACATGAACCTTTTAGACATTATACTAAGTGAAATAAGCCAGTCACAAAAAGACAAATACTGCCTGACTCTACTAATATTAGCTACCTACAGACCAACTCTTAGAAACAGAAAGTACAATGGTAAGTTGAAGCCAGTAAGTCATATCAGCGACTGTGCATCTCAGGGTTTTAATGAAATGCTCACATGAACACTTCATTTAACTCCTGATTGACTGGAGAAGGGACCATTATTTCTGATAAATGTTGTACCTGGGGATTTGCAAGTCTAATCTGTTCTAAAAGCTTTTATTTTTAGGCTGTGAAAATTATGATAAAAATGAGACATAACTGGGGTGCTTGGCTGGCTCAGTCAGTAGAGCATGTGATTCGACCTCAGGGATGTAAGTTTAAGTCCCCTGCTGGGTGTAGAGATTACTTAAAAATAAAATCTTTTTTTTTTTTTAAGATTTTATTTATTTTTTTGACAGAGAGAGAGCATAAGCAGGGGAGTGGCAGGCAGCAAGAGAGGGAGAAGCAGGCTCCCCACTGAGCAGAGGGCCCGCCGTGAGGCTCGATCCCAGGACCCCGGGATCATGACCTGAGCTGAAGGCAGACACCCAACTGACTGAGCCACCCAGATGCCCTTAAAAATACAATCTTAAAAAAAAAAAAAGAATGAAACATATTAATTTCTGTTCCTAAAGTAAATAGCCAGTGAAAACTGATTTCCTAACCTTTGGAACTACTTGACTACAACTTTTGACTCCCATTCACTTGAGATGTAACTATATTAACAAAACAAAAATGATGTGCCATCTTTTTACTTTGAAAAGTGAGTTCCAACTCATGTGGGGGGGGTAGGTAGTGATGCTCCTGAAATATTTTTAGATGTAACAAAATGAGAGCTTGAATTAATCATTTTGGGGAAAAGGTTCAAATCAAGTATGAGACAGCAATGACACAAAGTACAGAAGAGAAAAACCACTGAGAAACAATTAGCAAAAAACCTTAGAGTTTCTATTATACACTGTATATACTCTGCCCCATGAGATGGTCCTAAGAATAGAGTTTCAAGGACAAAGAAAAGAAATATAACATTCATGAACTAAAAACTATTTTCATAGGAAAAGAGCAGAATACTGTCTCTGAAAGTAGTGTTAACAAAATATATATATATATATTTTAAGATTTTATTTATTTGACAGACAGAGACACAGCGAGAGAGGGAACACAAGCAGGGGGAGTGGGAAAGGGAGAAGCAGGCTTCCCGCTGAGCAGGGAGCCCGATGTGGGACTCAATCCCAGGACCCTGGGACCATGACCCAAGCCGAAGGTAGACGCTTAATGACTGAGCCACCCAGGTGCCCAACAAAATATATTTCAAAAATCCCTTCAACTGGGGCGCCTGAGTGGCTCAGTCATTAAGCGCCTGCCTTCGGCTCGGGTCATGGTCCCAGGGTCCTGGGATCGAGTCCCACATCCAGCTCCCTGCTCAGTGGGAAGCCTGCTTCTCCCTCTCTCACTCCTCCCTCCTTGTGTTCCCTCTCTCACTGTGTCTCTCTCTGTCAAATAAATAAATAAAATCTTTAAAAAAAAAAAATCCCTTCAACTAACAGTGAAAAGCTTCCCACAAAGAAAATCTGAAGCCCAGATGGTTTGCTGGTGAATTCCACCAATTATTACAAAAAATAATTAATGCCAATTCTTCATAAATTCTTCAAAAAAGCAGAAGTGGGAATACTTCCTAACTCATTCTATGATGCCAGTAATACCCTAAAACCAAAACAAAAGACATCTCAAAAAAAAAGAAAACTACGGACCAATATCACTTATGAGTGTAAGACACAAAAATCCTCATCAAAATATTAGTAAACTGAATCTAGTATGACCAAATAGGACTCATCCTAAAAGTGCAAGGTTGGGGGCGCCTGGGTGGCTCAGTTGGTTAAGCGACTGCCTTCAGCTCAGGTCATGATCCCGGAGTCCCAGGATCGAGTCCCACATCAGGCTCCCTGCTTGGCAGGGAGTCTGCTTCTCCCTCTGACCCTCTCCCCTCTCGTGCTCTCTCACTCTCTCTCTCTCTCAAATAAATAAATAAAATCTTTAAAAAAATAAATAAAAATAAATAAAAGTGCAAGGTTGAACATCCAAAAATTAATATGGTAATACACCATATAAACAGGTAAAGGACAAACCCACATGATCATTGTATTAGACATGGAAAAAGCATTTGACAAATTCTATACCCTTTCATGAGGAAAACATCTCTTACAAACATGGAAGAGAAGGGAACTTCTTCAACCTGATAAAGGTATCTATGAAAAACCCATAGCTAACATCATGCTTAATGGTAAAAGACTGAATGCTTTCCCCTTAAGATCAGGAAAAAGACAAGGATGTCTGTTTATGCCACTTCTATTTAATATTGTACTGGAGATTTTAGCCAGAGCAATTAGGCCAGAAAATGAAATAAAAGGTACCCAGAAAAGAAAGTAGTACAACTACCTTTTATTTGAAGATGACATGATCTTGTACATAGAAGTCCTAAGGAATCCACTAAAAACCTACTAGACTAATAAACGAGTCAAGCAAGAATGCAGATCAAGATATAAAAATCAATGTATTGGGGCACCTGGGTAGCTCATTTGGTTAAGTGTCTGACTCTTGATTTCGGCTCAGGTCATGATCTCAGGGTCGTGAGATGGAGCCCCGCCTTGGGCTCCATGCTGAGCATAAAGCCTGCTTAAGATTCTCTCTCTCCCTCTCCCTCTGCCCCTCCCCCCCAAAAAAATCAATGTATTGACTGTATATAGTAGGAGCGAAGAATCTAAAAAGGAAATTAAGAAAAAAAATCCATTTGCAATAGATCAAAATGAAAAAATACTTAGGAATAAATTTAGCAAAAGAAGTATAAAACTTATACTAAGAAAACTACAAAACATTGCTGAAATAAATTAAAGACCTAAGTAAATAAAAAGATACCCTGTATCATGGACCAGAAGACAGTATTT